ATTTCTGTTTCAACTTCAACTTTACTCTTAAAACAATGTGAAATATGAAATACACAATGAACGAAACTCAACAAGACACCATTTTTAACATATGAGGATCAACCAAATGCTTTATACCAATAACAAAAAACAAAAACAAGAAAACAAGATGATAATCAAATCCCATTTTCTAAATGACTCCAATCAGATAGATTCTTGAAGCAGATAAGCACAACTAACCAATCAATTTCCATTACAAATTCAACCCCATTTCTGTTTCAACTTCAACTTTACTCTTAAAACAATGTGAAATATGAAACTCAACAAGACACCATTTTTAACATATGAAGATCAACCAAATGCTGTATACCAATAACTAAAAACAAAAACAAGAAAACAAGATGATCATCAAATACCATTTTACTCCAATCAGCTTCTGATCAACCCAATACAGATTTCTTTAAGAATTCAACCCAATTTCTGTACAATTTCAACTTTTACTTCAACTTTGTTCTAAAAAAAAAGATTCTAAAAATATATTTTTGAACTTCCCTTTAATGGGGTTTTGTTTCTGAAAAATTTGGGGAAAAAAAAAGAAGAGTTCTAAGGTTTAAGGGCAAAAAAAAAAATGGAGGCTTTACGGTTTTCTTTGTCTTTTCTTGCTCTTTTCTTTTTCTTGGTCTAAGTTCATATTAATATATTTTTAATGTGCAATTTGTAATTAAAGAGTTGTAATTGAAGTATTTAAATACCAAGTCAATGGAAAAATAATAATAAATGGAATACCAAGTCTACCATGATAGTCATGTATCTTCTCTTTTCTCAACCTAGTCGGATTATAATTAAGGTCGATAAAATTTTACGAATTAATTGTTTTAAAATTAATATAAACGTACAATTTTGAAGTTTTAAAAGTTTCAGTTATATCCATCTGAAGTTTGATTTGTCAAATTTTAAAAAATTTATTATAAAAAATTTAAGTATGTTTCGTGTGAAAATAACATTTTTTTAGTTAAGTTGTAGCTAACAAATTCTTATGTGTTATGCTTTAGATGATCGTCATTCTAGTGGTGATTAATATTTTGAAAATAATAGTCAATCACTATATTTTTAAACTTGATAATAAAAATAAAATAGAATTACTATTTTCTTCGAATTTAAAATATGCTATGAAATTTAAGCATCTTGTATACATATGAATAAGTGGGAGAAGGAAGGTTTTTGTTTGAAGTTTGTGAATTCGATTATTGATTACACAATTTAAGAAAACTGAATATAACTTAAATAAAAAGATTAAAATTAACTATTGAATATAATTTTTATGTGATTAAACTTATTTGGCTCCAAAAAGAATTATAGTTTTGAATATTTGAAAATTTCTTATCAATGTTGTGACTTTTTTGTTTCTTTAAAAATTTTGAACATCACTTTGTAGTTTGTAAATAACTTTTTAATAAACATTGTGAGATTCTTTAATGAATAATAAGGATTAAAAATGTATAGTAACAAGCTAATAAAACAAGAGTCAATTTGTAGCAAGCAATTCTATGAGCAAGGTCAATAAGTCAACAAACACTTTTTTTTGGAAGTTGTGCGTATGTGAAATTGTTTTATTTATACGAAGATTAGACACCAAATGAAATAAAATAAAATTGGTATTTATGTTAGCAAGGGAACGACATTTTTGTTCAAAATGGCGCTAAGGATTTTTATTTTTATTTCTTAATTGGTATCTAATATTCATATTGGGGAATCTGCTAAATTTGAATTTACTCATTTTAGAGAATGCTATCAACAAAAAAAGTCATTTTCATGAATTTGAATTCAAAACCTCTAATCAAGGTGGAGACTTTCAAAATTTGACGTGACTTTCTTAATATTTTTATTTATTTATTTTTCGTAGTTCTAATCAAGGTTAGAGTTATGCAGATATTAGTTATGCATGGTTTAGTTATACAGGTATTAGTTATGGAGGGTTTAGTTATGCAGGTATTAGTTATGGAGGGTTTAGTTATGCAGGTATTAGTTATGGAGGGTTTAGTTATGCAATTATTAATTATACAAATATTAGTTTCGTAGATATTATTTATGTAGGATTTAGTTATGTAGAAATTATATTACATAAATTATAACTTATTGATTATTTAATTTATTGTAAATTAATATACTTTCTTAAAAAAATCGGAAATTGTAAAATCCATGCTTATAAACAAGTAGTATCCAAAATAAATAAAATGCAACAGTCCCTCGGGGGTGGGGTGGGGTGGGGGTGTAAAAACGACGAAACTCAAAACACCCTAGGGGGTCGTTCTGATTTTTCTTTGGGTGGTTGTGTGTGTGTGTGTGGGGGGGGGGGGTTCCTTAATTTTGTAAATTAATATACATTATTATTTACAAACAAATAAGTAAGAAAACAAATTAAGGGTAAATATGTAATTTTATTATTTTAATCCATGTATAACTAATACCCTCATAACTTATTCCACCTTCTACCCTGCATAAAATTATACATAGATTTCTTTTAAGTTATGTAAGTATTAGCTATGTGGCATTACAAAAATACAACCAAACACCACATAAAATCAATACATGTATAACTTTTATACAACATTGAAGACACCAACCAAACATTGTATAAAATTTATACATGAATAATTTTGATTCTATTTACAAACCAAACATGGTACAAAATTAATACATGAATGACAAAGTTATTCATGTATTAATTTTGCCCTTATCCAGTAACGAAACGGCCCCTAACTATTCAACCCCAACCAACTCAAAATCACCTCTAAGCAGTCCTAAATTTTAGATATAAAATTCTCTCGATATTTCAATTTTTTTAATATATAAATCACTTAAAATAATTCACGTTATAGTTCACTGAATTTTAAAGAAAAAAAAATACATTCACTGTATCACACCCGTTGAAAATAGGTTGCATACTTTCAGTTACACAACAAACTCAAAAACGGAAGTAAATGCATTTTTGGTTCCAAGTTTGGAACTGCAGTTATCTTATTTTATATTTAGTTCACTTTAAGTAGTTATCTTAGTCAGATTTTTTTTTAGTTATTATTTTCCCTATCTCAATTTATACGATTTTTTTTTAATTCAATCTAAATATAATAATATATTTATATATATTTAGTATTTTCTACTTTAATTTCTCTTTTTACTTGTCATTTTTTGACAAATTAAAGAAGGATAATATTTTTTTTAATCATACTTTCAATTTATTAATATTGAGTTAATGTCTTTGAAAAGTATAGATCACGTAGTGAGTAAATCTGTTTGAGACTCTATTAATTAATAAGGGTAAAATGATAAGCTCGCTATACTAAACATTGTTCTCTTAATATGTGTGTCGAGTCAAAATTTGACAAATAAATAGGAACATATGGAGTAATAATTTAATTTAAAATGTAATTTTATCTATGATTTAGTTTGGATCATAAATTTTAAAAATCTGTCTTTTTGTTTAAAATTTTATGTCAAATCAAATTAAATCACATAAATTGAGACGTACTCCCTTTTATCCCATATTAGTAGATCACTTTTCGTTTTACACGCATATTAAGAAATTATAAATAAGAGGATAGTTTTATCAACTCATCCCTTAAGAACTTCTTTGAAACTTTACAAACAAGTGTGAACACTTTAAAAAAAAAATTAATTGTAAGGATAATATGGAAAAAAATCAATTAATACTTTTTTAAAATAGTAAGGTGATCAATTACTCCTTCAGTTCAATTTTACTTGTCACATTTTGACTTGACACACCCATTATGAAAATAATATTGATATAGGTATTTTACCAAATTATCTCCTGTTAAATGATGTCTAGAAAAATGATTTGGAAAATAAGTATTTAATATCGAGGGTAAAATATGAAGAAAAAAAATTGTCTTTTCTTGATATGTCAAAAGTGACGAGTTTTATTTTAGAAATAAGTGACAAATGAAAGTGAATGGAGGGAGTAAATGTAACAACAAGTATAGTGATAAACTAATATGGGACATAATTAAGGAATATGAGGAATTCGTTTTTATGAGGATTAATGATGTGATAAATTTAATTTAAAAATATAAATAATTAATATATTAATATAATTTTGACCAATAACCGATTCGTGACTCTTGACAAAAAGGTATGAAACAATAAACATTCCACATGAGGAATTTATTAAGCTCACATACAAAGAATTTGCACTTCCTAGTAGTTGGTTCCAACCACAATATTTATGGTTGTGGTACATAAAAAATCATCATTGCTGACTCAAAAGTTTTCATAATAAAAATATGATAGAGTTGACCAGTCAAAGATGCATTTAAAGTTTTTTAATAAAAGAAGATATTTTTTTACTAAATGTAGTTGAGTTTGAAAATGACATCCATTTGACTAATTGCTACTTCTTTGACTATAACCTTTGAAATAATTATATTTCCGTTACATTTTATTTGATTCATATTATCCAAACGAGATGAGAGGAGTATTAATTACACTAGAAAATGGTTCAATGTTTTCAATTGAACTTATTATTTTTGGTATGAAACGCAGAGATATATATGTAAAAGATCGAATCAATAGCTTTAAAAATACAACATACTCACTGTTAAAAATCTTAAGAAATTAAATTTATCGAATTTAAATGTTAAATCCGCATGATATACTAATCAACACTTCATAGAACAAGAACTTACTAACATATCATATCTAAAAGATACATCACGTTCGATACTAAAAATCTTTAAAGACTGAATTAATCAATTTGAGTCTGTTTGATCTATTAATCAACACTTCATAGAAAAAAAATATCATATTCGATACTAATAATCTTAAAGACTAAATTCTCAAATTTAAATATTGGATCAACCTTTACTAAACACCACTTTGATATAGAAAGAATTCTACTAACATATGAAGGATACATATATATATCAAGAAAATTGATTACAATCAACATGAGATGTTTATCATAAACAAGAAAATTAGCTAAGTTTTTAATGAGGATTAAGAAGAACTAATTAAGATGAATCAAACTTATAGTGTTTATCAACAGCAATTGAAACATCCCAAGTGCAACTTAATCCTTTTGGAATAATAACAAGATCTCCAGCTCCAAATTCAACTATTTCATCATTTGAATTCTTTGTTGAAACTTTCACTTTACCTCTCAATAAATAACATGTCTCTTGTGCATCAAATTTTAATTGGTATTTTCCTGGAGAACAACCCCATCTGAAAAAATAAAATGTTTATATTTATTAATAACATATATAATAATATACAACAATATATCATGTGTTGTTAGATTTCTCATAAATCGATTAATTTTACGTTGACTGTCAGTCTATTATGATCTTATTCTTTCATTTGAACTAGTTAGGAATAGGTCATTCGAGCTTATATATTATGAAGATTCATCATAAATTGACTATTTTTATGCTGGTTAATTAGGAATCGATAATTTGAACAAGCCTACACAGGAGTAGAACATATACATATATTATGTATTTGTGAAGAAAATTATAAATTGACTAGTTTTACTCATGACAGAAAAAGAGACTTTTGAAGTAATGAGTATAATTTTTTTTCAACCCTCCTCTTTTATCTGAGTTGGAGTTAATACCTTGAGCAAGCTCACACAAACAAAGAACACATATACAGTTTGATACACAAAGTATTTCACGTTAGTAGGGTTCAGAAAAAGATCGCACCCTACAGAAACATGATGATGAAGAGAAAAAAAAAGTAACAAGAAATGAAAATTATATGATTGTGTATACTTACTTAGGCCAAGATTTGATGCCCAATTCATTGAGTTGAGATTGTGGAGGATTCTTTTGAACAATTATCCCAAGATTTGATGATGAAGAAGAAGAAGAAGCCATGAAAGAAAAGTAAAAAAAATTAAAAGAGATATTTATTTATATATATGCACTCAAGTTCAACTTCACCCTTTGTTTTTTCTTGATAATAATTGCAACCTTTTTATATACTATAAAGTTATTTATTAGGGGGACAGAAGAATCTTTTTTTTACCAAAGAAAAAAGAAGAAAAAAAGAGTATATGATATATACTTTTAATGACAAATAGGTTTGTATACTTTTAATTTCAACATATCCTTTGACCTATCACATCTAAACTATGTCTTGTTCATAAAATAATTTGGATCTATTTTATAAATTTTTTTATCATTAAAATAATAATGATAATAATAGTAACAACATAGTCAATGTATTTTCACAAGTGGAGTCATAAAAAATGAGGTATGAATACAAACAAGATATACAGAGAGAGCTCGACTTAAACAAAACATATAAGACTAGATTATTATTATTATTATTACAATAACATACACAATATAATCTCATAAATTGAATTTGAGCTGATAATATACACATATCATATCTCTATTCCGTAAAAATAGATAAAAAAATTTAAAAAACTCTTCGCTCAAGTAAAGTATTATTATTGTTAAATGTTAAAGTAGCTAGTTGTTGTGGTACAACTTGTAGGAGTTGTTTAAAGATTATTCAATCACGTTTTTTTTAAAAAAAAAATAATAATGTATTTTTCGAAACTAGCATACTCAAATTATGATTTTCATTCTTATGTAGTAATCACTTCTATCACATTTTATTATGTGGTTAGAGTCCAATAATTACCATAATCTTTCTAGTTTGAATTAGTCAGCTTCATTTCACGCGTCTTTTCTTATTAATAAATCAATTTTTTTTTTATATTAGTGAAAAAAATCCTTTTAAATGTGTATAATGATAATTTTATTTACTTTCAACAAATATGACAAAACAATATATTATTTATACGATCGGTATATATTAAATTAAATTTATTAAATTATTATTATTATAGATGACCTTTCCCCTGATGTTTTACTCAAGATTGCAATATTTTAAAAATGGTGAATTTTGGCAGATCATAAATATAAAAAGGATATTAAAAATTAAATAATTGATAAATTTTTTGGATAGGAATCTCCAGTCAAAGTGTTGACCAAAAATTTTAATCTTTGACCGACAGAGAAAAGTGGGAAAACTGTTTGACCAAGGAAAAAGCATTATCCTTTTTTCTATTTTTGTTCTCTTTCAATTAATATTAATATTAATGTTGCTATCAATAATAATGATTGTTTGCAATAAATTTTAAATTGATAAAAAATAAATTAAAATCACAAAAAAATATGAAAAAAATATAATTTTCTTTATCAAGATTGCGAGTACAAATCTGTTGATCCCTAGATTCTACTCTCCTAAGAATTTCCAAGGTCGTTAGTGGCATATTTTTCGAACTAGAATGAGTTGGGTGATCTCTTTATGAATATTCCATGACTTTGCGGAATTTTCAAGATTTTGATCTCTTTATGGAATTTTCGAGATGCTTTTTCAAAAGAATATAGTACTCTCTATCCCTAATTACTTGTCCACTTTTCAATTTTTACTTAATCCTAATTACTTGTCCACTTTGACAAATCAAGAAAGAACAATTTTTTAACCTATTATACCCTCAATTAATTACTTTGAAAAATGTAGAACTTCTTGAAAACCTTAAGTTTTTAATTCATCCACTTTATAATTAATGGGGTAAAATGGTAAATTCACTGTGTCAATAATTGTGTTCTTAATAGGAGTGTGAAGTGTCAATTCAAAAGTGGACAAGTAATTAGGTACAGAGGGGTACCCTTTATATAGACATGAACTAGATTTTAAGGTTAAGTATATTTTTAACAATGAATGATATTATTTATATATTAAAACACACCCCCATTGACTAGATAATGCGTAATGTACAAGCTTTATTTTGTTATGAACAAATGTTTTCAACACAAATAAATTAGAACTTGTTTGGATTAACTTATTTTAGGTGCTTTTAAACCAAAATAATTTTAAAGCAATTTTAGAGTGTTCAGATTAAAAAAAAAGTACTTGCTTATAAGCCAAAAAAACAAAAATACGCCAAAAGCCAGAAGCTTGAATTTCTAATTTACGACTTTTAATATTTACAAAAGTGTAATAAGCCGACAAATTAGTTTGAGTGTGACGTCGACTTTTCAAAATAAATTAAAAGTGTTTTTGATATCTTTTCTCTTTTAATAACACCGCTAATAATATGATAAGATAGTTGAAATCACTCTATGTTCGATTAAAAAATATTTTATTTTCTACTATTTAGTGAAATTATAATTAGTCATGATAAAAAAATATCAAATACCAAATGATTATAATTGAAAAATATCTTGTCTTAGTAGATAAGGAAAGAAAAAAGATATCACGTGCAAATAAATGTGCTTACTAAAGTCTGTCTAAGTGTCCTGTAATTCCTTTGTTTGCATGAATGTGGTAGTTGGAACAGGTCAATCTAAATATCACCTCCTTTGTTTGCATGGTTCGGAGGTTTTTTCAAACCCAACTCACCCAATTCGTTTAAGTTCGGAAAAATTATTGATTCATTCATTAAAAGTTTGGTTGATATGTAATCTAAATTGACTCATGAAAGTTTTGATCAAAATATTTTTTAATAACTTTTTCTTTTTCAATTTGATATGTTATATATAGCAATAATAATTAAAATAAATAAATTTAGTAGGTACGAAAATATTTTCCTTCCTTAACTTTTGTGTTTGTGCCGCTCACCCTTTTTCAACACGATTTTGCTCATTAACATTTCTATCTTGCTTCTTTCATCAAAGATAGGTGTGAACTAATTTTCTTGCTTAACCCCTTTTCTTATGGTCAGGTGGCTGAACACCGTGAAGATTAAATAAGACATGTGATAAGCAAGTAGAGTAGTCAAGCCAAAAAAACAAGCGATTTTCGTTCAATCACAAAATCAATCGTAAAAATTGAGTCAGATTGTGTTTTGACCTGTTACATAACCCATTTTGAACCAATAAATTTAGGTTGGGTTGGGTTAGGTCTTAACCCATAATAACCTACCTAAATTTGACCCAATCCATCCAATTGTCACCCCTATTTAGGAGGTAATTTGAGAGACTGCTTTACCTTAACCAAATGTCTCAGGTTCGAGTCCTAGGTAGGGATGAAATCATGTTGAGAGAGCCACCCTTAAATAAGTCTATAGTGCGCAATTCGAATTCAGCTAGGGCTTCAAAACAAGCTCTGAACACCGAATGAAAAAACAAAAAAAGTATTATAATTTTTTAGGAATGTGTCGGGAGCTGATTAACAAGAAGAAATGTTTACAGTTTATGATTGGCCACATGAAATTACCCCCTTATCAAACTATCGATAGAATTCTCACATAAACATATGGATAGAGATGCCGATTCATACGTAGCTAGAAAGGCTCGTTTGACAAAGCTACAGTTCACCAGACAAAATTGGAATTTCAATTTTGGTTTGATACCTCGAAATCTATTTTTGTCTAGAAGAAAGTAATGCGGCTTCTAGTAGTCCGGTTTTTTTTAATCATTATATGGAGAGCAGAGTTACAAGACAGATTACAGGAAAAGGAAAAGAAAAATAACTGCTACACAGATTGCAACAGCAAATCCAGAGAAGTATTTGGAAACATGTAGATCACTTATCTTCTTCTTCAGCATCCGGCTCCGCAAAGAGTGTCTCAGGTTGTGTATCAGCATATGCTGGAGCAATAAATTTTGGATCTTTTGCAGCTGCATCAGCATGCTTCAAGATTGCTTCTCTAGGATCCTCCTCCATCCAAGTCTCCTTTATCAAGCCACCTTGCTGCAAAAACATGCAAAGAGTTAGGTACATTCACCCAGCATTAATATGTTGAGAAGAGAAGATGAAATGGGGGTGAGGAGTAACAACTAAAATAAAGTAGACTCTGTAGTTTTGTTTTATTTGGGAAGAGAGGAGAAATACAAGATCAATAAATTCTATAGCAACTAGCAATATAAAGGAAGGCCACAAGAAGAAATTTTTCCTTCTCAATAGCAAGACAGGCGAGAGACCAAATTCTCAAAAAGCATCCATCTACACTTGCCCAAGTAAAAACAAGAATTTTACTGAAGCACAAACTTAAATATAATGAATGGTCTACGACTACACATGCAGAAACCATCTTTCTGACTACACATGATGTGAATAGCATACATGCAGATAATTTCCTACATGCCACCAGGTGCTATTGCCTATTATTTCCTTGATACAGCGGTTGCATTTTTCAAGATCATGGGGTTCTCTCTCTCTATCTCTCTCCCTTTTGGGGGAAATGTCATGAGGTTCTTAGGGTTTAAGGGAAGAGCATGGTAGTTGGGTTGTCAGTTGTCACAAAATACACTGGCAAATGAGGCTGAGGTAAACTGCTGATGTGGTCGTACCAAAAATTTAAGGATCACTCTCTGATAATAGTGAGTTGAAGGTAGTGGGTTGATTATACATCTCCGAAGAGGGAACAGTTACTGACATAGGGATAACTTAGGTCTCAAAACACAAGAGGTAGCATTGACTGTCAACAGTCATGGAGGCATGCTATGAAGAAATAAAAACAACCAGCTCTGTTACTCCACCTTTTCTCTTCCCGAAACTAAAGGTCTAGAGTATATAGACAGGAAAATAAAACAAAGAACAAAGAAAAGATCAGATTTTCTGCAACCACAGATCCTGGTTCTTTTCAAAAATTATAAATGATACAAGACATTGTTAATAAGGATATTACCTTAAGAAGGTATTGTGTTAACAAGCTTCCCTTGGTTGAACCAACTCTACCACCAAAACCTGGCCCTGTTATTGGCAGCTCAGGTTTATGCGACTTCAGTGGATCCTTCAGTTCTTTCTCTCGCTGACGCTTGCGACTAGGTTGATCTCTAAATAAGGGTAATGCATGTGGATTATGAATAACTGGTTCTGCCTGGAAATCATCCACAGACTTTTTCCTGGGTGCACGAGCAACACAAACTAGTGCTCCTCTTTCACTCAGTGTTGGATCATATAAAATGTGTGTTCCACCTTCATGTTTATCCCC